AAGACAATTAGAGTGTATTTCATTATTTATGAAAGCTTTATTCGTCCTTACAGTTTCACATACTTAAAACCAAATCAAAATTCATGAAGATACCGATAACCTTTCATAAGCAATAACGTTTTTGTTAACGTATCAGATCTGCTGTGATGTTCACTCCTTCATGAGATTCATTACATTGCCTATTTTTTGAACAAATCATGTTGAAAACAGCTACTGTGACACTGATTTATCATCAAAATTCTTTGTTTTCCTCGAAAAACAAACAATATATGTTACTTGTAAGCAAATGCATCATTTAAATGTAGTTTGTGCAAATAATTTTATAAATTATACGTCTTCAGATTTTTTTCGAATCACAAAAAGTTCAGATTATCTGTATGAAAGGCTTGACAAATACTAACTATTTCGTGAAGAAGATAATTTCGAATAAAAATTTGTACGCCACTCTTCTGCAATATATATCCCTTACTTTTCTTTACTGCAGTGGTTGTTGATAAATGTTTTAGTCGTTCTGAGTCAAAACCACCGAGTTCTACCTCATATTTCCTGAAAGATTTCATTTAATTTACCAAGCGAATCAATCACGCTAATCAACTATTTGTTTTACTCCTGTATTTGTTCTGGAAAATCATGCAAACTCTATTATATAAACGGGAGACTTCAGGGACAGACATAAAAATAAACTTTGTTGGCGATACTTTGAAGTCAGAAGACATTAGGTAAACATTGTATTTTGTAGCATGTAATATTTATTAACGCCAGATGTCTGCAGCTTGTTGAGAGGAGATTTGTTATACAGCACCATACTTTAACACCCACTAGGATTTTCAGGAACACGAATATTGTGGGTCAGTCCTATCTTGATATATATATATATATATATATGTTATAATTTAACCAGACAATAATATTTGTATTATTGAGAAGAGTTCACCCTTTCTTCCTGTTAAGTGTATAACTTTTGCTATTTATTACAAGTGTTTTGGGATAATTTCGATCTCAAGGTTATATATAATATTGAAATTAACAATGAAAACAATCCAGAGAAAATAGAAATCTGTACAAGTTTCAAAGTAACCGAATAAAATAGACAAGTAACATAAGTGTTTTTTAATCTTTCCTTATAGAATGTCTGACAAACGTGAGTAGGTATCTTTTTTGTAATTAGCAGAGAGGTTTAAATCTAGAGGTGTTAATAGAACGACGTTCATAAAAGCCTATCCAACATTCTGCATGGAGACTTCATGGTACAGCTTCACACATGCATGAAACATGTGATCACTATTGCATGTGTCTTCCTGTGATCATGTAAAAGCGTCAGTCCTTTCAGTGGTGTGCATGAATTGTTAAGTCAGATAGATTATTTTGTACGAGGGATCTATTGCAGAATGAAGTCAGATAAAGTGTTTCTAATGTATATATTGTTATAGATAGTAGGAGAATCTTTCACTTGGAAACGCTAATCTCGAGGAAACACTATATTACTGAAGTTATGACTTACACGCGAGGTTTCTATGTATGAATTATATTTTCCAGTGTATATGAGGCCAAAGTAAGTACCCGTCTTTGCACTCAGAATGGTCGATTTCCCGTTTGTAATTTATGAGAAATAAGTTTCCCTTCGTGATGTCACAATATAAGCAAGTAAGTGGTGGATATAATATGGTCACCAAAATCAGATATTAAAACATAATATTATCAACGTCAATAGATGAGTAATAATCTTATTACGGTGGTTTTCTGTGATAAGAGTAAAAGAAACATTGCCGAAAACACTAGAATAAGGTACTTTTGTTATTATATAGTCGTAGAAATAATGGATATGTATTGGTCAGCAAAAGATTGCCAATTTGATTAATAGTAAGCTGTCATGGCATAAACAATGTAGCCTACTCATGATTTTCTTCGGTTACTCAAATATTTTTTCTCAACGCCACATTTTAACAAGTTGTTGATTTCATATGATAGTATATTTTCCTAGCTCAAATATATGTATAATAAGAATAATAGATAAAGAAATGATAACTGGGTTGTTATATTTGGAATAATATGATAACTTTAGCTTATTTTCACGATTCAATGTTTCCTTAAACCAATCAAACACGATAAAAACATTTTCACAAAATGAAGCATTTGTTATTGTTGAATACATCCCAACAAACAAACTTATAAGTTATACAGATCACTAAAGAGTTTGGTAAAACAAAATATGGTAGTAATAAAATATATTTTTGTAGTGTTTGTTTGCTTATGTTTTTACTGTTCTGTTGATTTCATACTATTTAGTATTTAATTTTTTACCGATTGTAAAGAGTATTTTTTGGTTATTGTTAAGCACACAACTACACAATAGGTTATCTGTACTTTGCCCTTCACGGGTATTGAAACTCGATATTTAGAAAGTTCTTAGGGTTTCCGCTGAGCCACCTTTGGATTGCAAAGAGGAATCTCTATTGTTCTAGAAGGCATTTCAGTTCGAGAAATAGCAAAATATATTTCAGACGTTTCAACTAATATTTGTGAATTGTTTTAAATTGTATTATGTATACAAGGAGAAAAAAAATCGGGAATAATTAAAAAGAATATTGAAGAATAAACTGTATTGTTGGAGTTTTCCATTTCTTAAAAAAATAGAAGGATAGAAAATGTAAGGATGATAAATAGCAAGTTCTGTATTTTCAATAAAATAAAGATTAATAATAATATATATTGACTCTACGTGTTATTGTTTAATGATAAAATACCTACTTTTACACATAGGAACGTCAATTCTTATAATAGATGAAATAATGCAGAAAATAATGGTCTATACTCCGAAGAAACATGACAAATAGTTCTCGATATGTGGAAAATATTAAAAAAAAGATCAGTTTTTCTTAGTTTACATATATGCCACACAAATATAAACCGAGTGCGTTCCATTGTATATTTAAGGAAATTAAATCGCTTTAACAAAACCGTTTTCTTTTTACTCTCTTCAATATCTTAGCGTTTTGATGTCAAGTTTTATGCTATCAAAGGCTGGGTTTTCTTTTGAAGTCTCAATCACTAAGAGTGTTTATCGATTTTGATGCATTGGTAATCCGTCATCATTCAGTTTCGAAGGAGAACTTTCGTTCCTCAAGCTTTTACACGCAAATGGAATGCCATCCAATGCTTGTTTCTTTTTCGTGTACGAATCAAAGAGATTGTATTTTATTGTGCCCCTGGTAGTGGGAAACATTCCAAGAAATCAGCAACTGACGACACCAGCGGCACTTTCATGAAGCAATCGATTACCACGATGGTAATATTTTTTATAGAAGAACTTACATTTATGGAAAAGATTTCTCAACATAAGATTCCGTGAAATTTGATATTCAACTACGTATACTTCTTCAAAGATAAAATTGGACAATTCTCTCTAACATGCCCGTAATTTCTTATGCCTAAGAGAAAATGGTATCTGTTGGAATCGTAATACTTTTGCATTGTAGTAAATGTGTGACTGATAAAAGGCCTATAGTATCGTTAGTATTTTAAGGCAACTTGGTGCTAAATAAATAATGCTTAATTTTCTTCTCTTCCAAAATGATTTTTTTAAATATTTAGTAAATAAAGTCCTAGTTGGATAGATCGCTTCTTGGTATGTTCAGACATAGATTGATAATTGATAGATAAACTATTGTAATATATTATGGAAACGAAATGGCGTAGAAAATGAGTCTGACGTTCTGTAACGTCTTCGAAATGATCTCTGTCAGATAATATCACGTAATCACAATGGAAGTAGCAAATGTGTTATTTTCTCGCTGCTTTCATATTCCATCAGTTAAGAGTAGAAAAGTAGTACCACAGTTTCAATGTCTCTTTCTGTAGCCTACATTTAAATTAAATTATAAATAAAAGTTTTTATCAACAACTTGTTTGAAAACCCAGTTAAAAGAAACAAGGCTGGTTAGTGATTATTTCGGAACTAAAGCATTTCTTTTTGTTTATATAAATATGTTTTCCATACTGTGAAAATGCGCTAAAACTGGTATTTTGGTATTGGTATTTTTTCTTCTTCTATGATTATCTACTCATTTTAGCAACTGTTTCAGACAAAGCGTCACCTTAATCAATATTTTACTGGAAATGTTTGCTTTATTACACTAGTTTTCCAGTCCTTTTTTATCTTTTATGTTTTTTTCAGAGAAAGTGACTGGAGTAGTTGGTATGAAAGTAGCCGTCCCTTGTAACATTACACCTCCCAATGCAAATGACGACGTCTCATTAGTGCTGTGGTATAGAGGAGATACTTCCAATCCACTCTACAGCTTCGACGCTCGAAGAGGCAATACGAATTTGGGAAGACATTCCCCAACAGACAACCTCTCGGATCGTGCCATGTTCAGCGTTATTGACAGACCAGCTGTTTTGATATTGGATCCTGTTTTGGCAGGGGATGCAGGGACCTACAAATGTCGTGTTGATTTTCGTGTTGCAAGAACAAGATACTCGGAAGCTGAACTGTCTGTTATCAGTAAGAAATATTTGTATCTTGAGAAGGAGTAAGCGATTTTCGGCTAAATATAACATATGAAATATCACAGTTTTAAGCACGAAACTAGATCACTTTTATACATAATTTATATTTACGTGGTGAAAAATATAAATCAGAAAAAAACGGCCTTCGTATACGACGAATGCATTTTTTAAGATGACACATTGATATAGCAAATCGATTTACGGTTTACTGTTATGATAAAGATTTAGTTTAGAAATAATAGGGTTATTAATATCTTAGACGCCTTAAATAATAGTTAGTTAGCAAAGGTTGTCTTGTTTATTTTTTCAATTACAATTCCAAATCAAAACTTAAAGCTTTAATAAGAATAAAAACAATATACATATATATATTTATATATATATATATATGTGTGTGTGTGTGTGTGTATTTTCACTCAGACATATATATATATATATATATATA